TGCCAACTGGTTAATTTATGTACTTAAACCTGTGCTTGGCTTGTGCCAAAATGTGCTCTTTCTGGCTGCTGGGTCTATATATTTCCTGAAACGCTGTAGCACAGCAGCTCCCTCCTCTCTCCCTCTCTCTGAGAAGGTGCGTGCGCATGATTCTCCACCACCGAGATTTTCCAACGGGGTCCTTTTTTAGTGCCCACCCCCCTGAGGTCCGGTCTGCCATTGCTAGGGACCAAGGATGTTGAAGACTTTCAACGAAAACAGGAGCAGAAATCGCCAGTGTGCGCTTATTCGTATCGTCTCCAGAAAAGAAAGCAGTCCACCAAACTGCTGTTCTTTGGAGGTTTCTCAACAGAGGTTGGGTGGCCATCTGTCAAGAGATCCTTGGGCTGTGATTCCTGCATTTCAGAAGGCTGGACTAGATAACCGTTGGAGTCCCTTCCAACTTGAGAATCCTATGATTCTGTCGTTGCATACGGTGGGAATGTTCAGGGATGCAGGAGAGGATATATTGTCTGATAAAAGCTTTTCCAACTTGTGTTAACAAGTTCACAATTTAGCAGAGTAACATTCCCCCTTTTAAACTCACAGCGGATGCGTTTGCTCAGGCTCGCTAAAGCCTCTATAATAACTGTTCTGGTATTTTCCCCTTATTCCCTCATAAAAGATAAGACACAGTGTGATGGCCTGGGATTCCGATTCGGAGGATGAAACAGAGGAATCCCAGCCTGCACAGGAGTCCCCGCCTCCAGGGCCGGCTGAACTGGGGCAAGGCCTAGATGCTGAAGAGCCTGCACCTGTGGCAGTGCATCAGGAGCTGGCCCCAGGTGAAGCCCTTCTGGCCCCAGAGGGGCTTGATGACTCAGTGGCCACAGGTGAGCCTCCTCCAGGGCCCAGTAACCCTTCGGCCTCTCCTGATCTGCAGAGGCTTAGGGCAGAGAGGCGAAGGGAACTGGTTGCCCCCAGGAGGAGTGCTCGCCTTAAGGCCAGAGGAGGCGGGGCTCCTGGGGACCGGGACCGCCCCTGGCCTTAGAAGAGGATAAAAGCCCAGTCAGCCCGGCCCCAGGTTGCGGGAGCAACGTCGTTGTTGGCTTCGGACCTTCCTGTGCTCCTGTTCCCTGCTCGGCTTCCTGTTCCTGACTATCCGGTACTCCTGTTCCCTGCTCGGCTTCCTGTTCCTGACTATCCGGTACTCCTGTTCCCTGCTCGGCCTCCTGTTCCCGACCATCCGGTGTTCCTGTTCCCTGCACAGCCTCCTGTTCCAGCATACCTGTTCCCCGCCCGGCTCTCTGCCTCGGACCTTGCCCCTCTTCGTGTGGACTCTGCTACACCCAAGGTACCTTACCCCCGGGACCAGCACACACAGTCTTCTATAAAAGTATAAAAAAGGTTTACTCACACATCATTCTGTTCACAATCGGATCCCAGAAGGCAGACTTAGCTTAGAAAAGTAGCATACACCTGGAAACTATCTCATAAGGAGACAGTCCCTTTGTCTTCTCTTGGCTGGAAGCCAAGAGAGCATCTTTGGCTAAGCAGATGTTGCTTCTTTGATGCATGTAGTCAAAAGGGGGAGATATGGCTGCCCTGCCCTGTGCTTTTGTCGTTACCTGCACAGGTGAGGCCACGCCCACCTCTAGTCACATGCAGAGGAAGTCTGTCCCAGCCCAGAAGGAAACAGGAAGTTTACCTGCTGGCTGAACAAACATTCCTCCCCATGTGAAAACATGTTCACTCTGGGAATGTTGTGCTTGACTGCTCCCCTTTGTTTCACATCCCACACATACAACAGATTGTTTGATTGTTTATGTGTGCAATGACAGCAGCAAGGATGCTTCTTGCCCAGAGATGGAAAGAAGAAGTACTGACCAGAGAAGAGTGGAAGACCAAGCTGGTGGAATATGCAGAAGTGGCAAGACTGACGAGAAAGGTCAGAAACCAGGAAGACCAAGTATTCTTAAAAGACTGGAATAACTTTCTAACATATTTGAGAGACCACTGTAAACAGTTGAAATCATTGGCAGGAATACAATGACACTTGTAATGTAACATGGGTTTTGGATACTATGATTATATAACAGATAGACTACAGGAAAAGATGCAGGAATAAAATTTAGAATTGGAACACATAGAGGGATGGAAGGAGGTCTCAAGGTTCGAAAGAACCCTTTCCCTTCTTTAATGTGTGAAAATGTTATGTTTATGGTGTATAACCTTAATGTAAAACTAATAAAAAATTATATATATATGAGAATCCTATGATTTTGTGAAATAGGATTGGTTTTTGTGCTCATTGTTGCTTTCAGCCTTCAAGCAAAACATAATTGATTACATTCTCCCCCTGCTCCCAAATCCCATTGTGTTTGCATTCGAGCACACAAGGTGGGTGGTTGTAATGGGTAAGGCAACATACGTAATTTAGGTAATTAACTATATGAGTCACATAGTTTTGCCACAGGGGATGGTGAGATGTGTGACGTAGTTTCTGGCAGAAAATGAACTGCGGCTGTTGGAGTATTTGGAAATGGCGAAATAATAATAATAATAATAATAATAATAATAATAATAATAATAATTTATTTGTACCCTCCCCAGCCACTCTGGGCAGCTTCCAACAAATATTAAAAATACATTAAAATGTCACACATTAAAAACTTCCCTGAACAGGGCCCAGAAGAGTAAGAAATCAAGAAGGGAGACTTTTTAACTTAGAATGGGAAAGATTTAAGTACTGTCTGAATAGCTATTGTAAACAGGTTAAAACACTAGCAGGATTGAATTAGAAACGAGCAGAAAAATTATTTAAATTGAGTATAGCGGACAAATAATAAATAGATTTAAATCGGATATTCAGTGATAAAAGGTATGACATAAGCAACCGCAGAAAGTGGAGGAGGGCAGTCGATATTAATGGTTGGTATCTTAAATGGGATGTGTAAATTTGTACTGTTATAAGTTTGTAACATGAGAAAATGAAAAATATTTTTAAAAGAAAATGAATTGAAGTGGAATTGAAACAGGACAGAACGGAAAGTCCCGTCCCCTCATTTCTCTCAGAACCAGAACTCATGGTCTTCCAAAGAAGATTTGGGGAGGACACAAGTGGCACTGTGGTCTAAACCACAGAGCCTAGAGCTTGCCGATCAGAAGGTCAGTGGTTCGAATCCCCGCAACGGGGTGAGCTCCCCTTGCTCAGTCCCAGCTCCTGCCAACCTAACAGTTCAAAAGCACATCAAAGTGCAAGTAGATAAATAGGTACCGCTCCGGTGGGAAGGTAAATGGTATTTCCATGCGCTGCTCTGGTTCGCCAGAAGCAGCTTAGTCATGCTTGGAAAAACTGTCTGCAGACAAACATCAGCTCTCTCGGCCAATAAAGCGAGATGAGCACCACAACCCCAGAGTCATCCGCGACTGGACTTAACGGTCAGGGGTCCTTTACCTTTACCCTTTTTAGCTTGTTAAGAGTGCGGACTTCATAAAAAGCATAAGAATCTGGATCAGGTCAGCAGACCGTCCTAGTCCAACCTCTTTTGGGAAGCCAGCAAGCAGGATTTGTGCCCCGGAGTCCTCTCCCCTCCTTTGGATTCCAGAATCTGGGACCCGGGACAGGGCTGGCCCAAGACATTTTGACACCTGGAGCGACAATGGTGCTCTCTCCCCACCAAAGAAGAACGGGTGACTGAAGGTCTATATTGGGATGAAGAGTGGGAGGAGATCAGCAGCACAGAGAGGCCGCTGCAGAGGTGTCGTCATGGGGAGGGCAGATCTGGTTTCCAAGGAGTGCAATGTGGCTGTAGCTGCTACCGCAGCAGAGGCAACAGCAGCGGGCAATTCATTCCTTGGAGGGCGGATCTGCTGCCCCTGCCCTGTGGATCCTGCCTGCCTGAGCCGCCTTGCTTCATGGGTGATTGGGAAGCACGGCTGCCTCCAGACATACATACATCACTAGTGTATACATCACTAGTGATGTATGGAAGTGAGAGCTGGACCATAAAGAAGGCTGATCACCGAAGAATTGATGCTTTTGAATTGTATGGTGCTGGAGGAGACTCTGGAGAGTCCCATGGACTGCAAGAAGATCAAACCTCTCCATTCTGAAGGAAATCAGCCCTGAGTGCTCACTGGAAGGACAGATCCTGAAGCTGAGGCTCCAATACTTTGGCCACCTCATGAGAAGAGAAGACTCCCTGGAAAAGACCCTGATGTTGGGAAAGATGGAGGGCACAAGGAGAAGGGGACGGCAGAGGACGAGATGGTGGGACAGTGTTCTCAAAGCTACCAGCATGAGTTTGACCAAACTGCGGGAGGCAGTGGAAGACAGGAGTGCCTGGCGTGCTCTGGTCCAGGGGGTCAGGAAGAGTCGGGCATGACTAAACGACCAAACAACAACAACAACAAAAAGTTGGTGCCCATCACTGCGTCCTGCGGCAGCGCGTTCCACAGTTTAACCACGTGCCGTGTGCGCGAAGAAGTCCTTTCTTTTGCCGGTACTGATCTCCCAGCGTTCAGCAATCATTGGATCCCCCAGGGAGGGAGAAAAGCTTTTCTTTCTCTACTGTCTCCCTGCCATTTTATAAACTCCTATCCTGTCGCCGCTTCTTCGCCTTTTCTCTAAATCCGAACGCCGCCACCTTTCCTCGTAGGGCACTCTCTGATTTCGGTACGCCAGCAAAAGAACCCGGGGATTTGAAAACCTTGATGCCCCCGTCCCCAGCAGCGTCTCTCGTAGCGCGAGGGCAGCATCTGTGTGGCGTCACTGTAAGCACCCCATAGTTGCTTGTGAAAACGCACAGGGCCTTAGGGACGAGGCGGTCCACGCAAGAGCTATCTTTAATCTCCAGTCAGCAACTGCCTTTAATTACTGCCGGTTTTCGGGGCGGGGCAGGGTCGCCTCTAGGCTGCCGGATCCCCCAGCCAGGCAGATGAGAGCTCAAAGATCTGTGCCCGGGCGCTGGAAAGCAGCTGGAAGCGAAGGGGCCCCCACTGCGAAGCGAAGCCCCGCCATGGGCAGGCACGAGGCGCGGAGACTCTTTTGGCACGCGGCGCTCCTAGCAGCCTCCGTCCTGAATTCCTGCATCCTGTTGGCTGGAGCCCAGGGGGCAACTGGAATACGTATCAGAGTTGACCCAGAAGTGCTGAAAGAAGGAGATCGTGTCACCTTAACACCAGAAGGTGTCGATCTGGAGGCGCTTCGTAACTGCAAATGGTACCGAGGGGCAATTAACTCCAGTTAATGGTCAGGACAATGGACCTGCCTACACTGACAAGGAGACCGTGAACCTAAATTGCTCCCTTACCATCACAGACTTAAAGCCAGAAGACGTGGGAACCTATTCATTTAAACCAGAAGGTATTAAACCAGAAGGGGTTAACAACACAGGGACTATAATCATCAGCATTGCTGAACCTCTACAAGATCTGGGTCTGGGTCCAGGACAAATTGCTGGCATTGCCCTAGGTTGTGTGCTTGGAGTAGCACTCATTGGAGGTCTGGGATATTTCCTGAGCACCAAGACTGCCTTGGGACTAGGGCGTCACTCACGCCAAACCCATACTGGGTGAAGAGGACATACAATATTCAAGGCCAACCACCCTCCTCAGCCAGAGCCAGCGGCCCTCCGGCCTTTGGAAAGCAACATAATATACTTGGAAATCAAGAAGAAATGATCAGGGCTGAATCTCCCCCAATGGGCTCCTCCGGTGCAAATATCCCCTATGACTCACCTCTGCTTCCTTTGCCTGGATTTTACTTTGATTGGGAGGTGGGACTTGAAAAAACTGTGGCCTCTTCTGAAGTTAAGGCTATCGGTCCCTCCCTTACTTACACACACACACACACACACACACACACACACACACATCCCTCAAGTGCTTCTCCTCCACCAACCCACTGAGCTGAAACAAAAAAACAGAAGTTTCTCTCCATGCCCTGCCACCTGGTATAATTGAGGTTAGGCTTTGGAATGGAACCAACCCGTTCGAAAGCGGGCCTCCCACCCACCCTCTGATCTGGGTGGGGAGAAACTAGAAACATTTCAGAGATCTCTTTTCCCTTCCTCTCTCTCTTCCCATCCTGCTATTGTTTCGCTTCCTGGCTGTGCCAAACCTCCCCTCTTTCTCTTGACCCTCGGGTCTTAGTGTCGCTGGGCAGTGGTGTGGCTGCTGCTCCCTTTGGCCTGCCCCAGCAGCCACCACAAGCCCTCCCTGGGGGAGCTGGATTCCAGGCACCTGTGAAGAAAGCACCCAATATCTGAGAAAGTGTGCCCTTGGAAACAGGCTGGGGTGGCAGCTGCGTCCAGGGCCGGACAGGAGAGAAGCTTTGCTCCTGATGCCTCCATCAGCTGCTTCTGACCTTATTCTTTTTTTGAGGAGGCATAAAAACTTGCTTGGGGGTCAGACCAGGCCCATGGGCCAGCAGTTCACCCCTCTTGCTGTCCAGAATGGACTGGCAACGTCTCAACAGGACAGCAGACCCCTTTGCTCTCCGGTCTGGCTTTTGGCTTCAGCTACTCTTTTGCTCAGGACGCGGGTGGCGCTGTGGGTAAAACCTCAGTGCCTAGGACTTGCCAATCGCATGGTCGGCAGTTTGAATCCCCGTGGCGGGGTGCGCTCCCGTCGTTTGGTCCCAGCGCCTTTCAACCTAGCAGTTTGAAAGCACCTCCGGGTGCAAGTAGATAAATAGGGACCGCTTACAAGCGGGAAGGTAAACGGTGTTCCGTGTGCTGCGCTGGCTCGCCAGATGCAGCTTGTCACGCTGGCCACATGACCCGGAAGTGTCTGCGGACAGCGCTGGCTCCTGGCCTATAGAGTGAGATGAGCGCACAACCCTAGAGTCTGGCAAGACTGGCCCATATGGGCAGGGGTACCTTTACCTTTACTCTTTTGCTCATGTGAATTTGAAACTGCCCTATGCGTGGATATGGACGTGTGGGCTTGAGGTGCGCTGTGGAGGGGCTTTGTGGTGGCAATTATTTCCCCTCTGCCGGATCATTATCCCCTCTCCAGCACCACCCCATTTCTTGCGATTAACCCGCCAAATCCAGTCTATAACAGAAGCAGCAAGGTGCTTTTGCAGAGCAGATTGCTTAAGCAAGCCAGGACAAACACAGCAGGCTGCTATAGCTCATGGGGTGAGTTGAGGCATCTTGAATAGATTCCCTTCTGTGTTTCTCCAGCTATGTGGTGTCGAGAAAGGGAAGAGCTGTGCCAAATGTCTGGAGGCTTAGAGCACTGGATTGGGGTTAGGAACCCACCACCCGCGGAAGAGGAAGGGATCCGGTTGTCCCCATGTCCCCTGAGTGACCACAGAGCCATTGGGCAAAGCACTAGGGTCAGTTGCAAGAACCGTGATGCTCACTGAGCAGCCTGGAGCAAGTTAACTACCCCTCAGATTAACCTCCTTTGCAGGATTGTCATGGGGCTACAGTGAGATAAGGCTTTTGTGGGATGTGACCCATGAGAGGCAGTCAAGTACAACATTCCTTGTTTTCCTAGAGAAGACATGCGAGGGAATGCTTGGTCCAGCCAGTCGAAACTTCCTGTTCCTGCTGGCTAGAGCATCCTTTCTTTTGCATGTGATAGAAGGTGGGCATAACCTTACCTGTCCAGGTAACAAAAGGACGAGTCACAGCACCCTTCCTCCTTTTTTACTTCCTTCTTCGTTTGACCAGCTTTTATCTAGGACTGCTCTGCTAGCTCTTAGCTAGCAGAAGCACTGGGATTATTCCCCCATATGGGGTAGATCCACATGTTCATATTTGTAACTAAGTCTGCCTTCAGGAATCCAACTGTGAACTGATGTGAGTAAACTTCTTTTATTGACTTTGAATAAGATTGTGGCGTATTTATTCTTTTAAGAGAGATTCAAGGGAACTTACCAGGAATGTACAATTCAATCTGAGAGAGACTGAATTGTATAATAGTGAGAGGCTCACACGAGCCTGCAACCAGCTGTCTGTTGTGCATGTAATAAAGGGGACTGCAAACTCTGCTAAGTAAAAAAACTTGTTAGCACAAGTTTGGAAGGATATTAACAAACAATATATTCTCTCCTGCCACCCTGAACATTCCCAAAGCTTTAACAATAATAAGGCCTGGAGCTTTTTTTGAAAAAAGCAGAGACATCACCTTGCCAACAAAGGTCCATATAGTTAAAGCTATGGTTTTCCCAGTAGTGATGTATGGAAGTGAGAGCTGGATCATAAAGAAGGCTGATCGCCGAAGAATTGATGCTTTTGAATTCTGGTGCTGGAGGAGACTCTTGAGAGTCCAATGGATTGCAAGAAGATCAAACCTCTCCATTCTGAAGGAAATCAGCCCTGAGTGCTCACTGGAAGGACAGATCCTGAAGCTGAGGCTCCAATACTTTGGCCACCTCATGAGAAGAGAAGACTCCCTGGAAAAGACCCTGATGTTGGGAAAGATGGAGGGCACAAGGAGAAGGGGACTACATGGTGGGGCAGTGTTCTCGAAGCTACCAGCATGAGTTTGACCAAACTGTGGGAGGCAGTGGAAGACAGGAGTGCCTGGTGTGCTCTGGTCCAGGGGGTCACAAAGCGTCGGACACAACTAAATGACTAAACAACAACAACAAATGCCTGGAGCCTGGAGCAGCAGAGCAGGGGGGGAGGATCTCGGGAGATTAACTTAGGGTTACCAGACGTCCTCGTTTCCCGGGGACAGTCCCCGGATTTGCAAATAAGTCCCCAGACAAATTCCATCCCTGGAATGTCCCTGGATTTCATCTAATGTCCCCGGTAAACGCAGCAGCGACAGTCTCAGCAGCCTGGAGCAGTTGGCTCTGGCTGGCTTCAGGAGCTGCTTGGAAGTCCCCATGTGATGGTGGTGCAGGGGCTCTCAGATGCAGCTTCCGGGCTGCCTCCACCTTCCCTGGCCCCAGCAACTAAGCTGTGAAGGGAGGCTTCATGCTGCCTATCGGAGCAACCTCCCAACTCCTACTTGCGTGCAAGCAGGAGCGGGATGGGGATCTCTCAGCTGTGAAGGGAGGCTTCATGCTGCCTATCAATTCCTACTTGTGTGCAAGCAGGAGGGGGCAGGGATCTCTCAGTTAGGCATCGGGAAACCTCCCTTCCCAGCTGAGGGATTCCCGCCCCCTCCTGCTTGCGCGCAAGTAGGAATGGGATTGGGGCTGCTCTGATGGGAAGGGAGGCATCGTGCTGCCCGAGCCTCGCCACCACCACCACTCTCAGCCCTCCTTCTCTGCCTTCCAAGCCTGACCCACCACGCACCCCTTCCCCACCCCACCACCGAAGAGCCAAAAACTCAGGGACTGCCCAGGCTCATGGAGAAAGGAGATAGAAACCTCGGAGGAAGGGGAAATGTGGCCGTTGAGGTCAAGGCGGCGGCCGCCCCTCTGCCACCTCCATCGCTGCAGCATCAACATCCCGAACGTGTAGTATTTATTTATTTAATTCAAGTGTCCCTGGATTTATTGAAAAAAACCTGGTAGCTTATTTTAATGGCAGGTGTAGAATCAGGGGCAGCAGGGTCCACATTCTAGTTTAGCTCAACTCCCACGCTGCAAAGAAATGTCTCAGAATGGGCAGGCGAACTGGGCTGCTTTGCAAAATTCAACCAAGTGTGGTGAGGGAGAAAGGAGGAAGGCCCTTGACAGTGAGCAGTTGTCTGTTTTGCTTTGAACATCAGCACCGATTTCGCAGCTAGCCAGCTTCTAGCTAATGGGGCAGACATGCTGAACACTGTAGATGTTAGTTTGAACCAAAGGCAGACCTCGTAAGATCTCTGGTAGGAATGAGAGGGAAATCCCCTGCCTTCTGTTCCCTCGTCATGTTGTCTGGGTATGTGTTTTCCTCTACCACTACCCAGCGCCAAAGGTTTGTCATCTTCGACTGAGAGTCGGAGTGCCCCTCTGCTGCGATAGTATCTCATACACTCTGGGCCTCGCTAATCATTGGGTGTGGGTGGAAGACGGCATGTATTCATGTTAAGCTTCAGGGTGCAAGGGCAATGGAGCAGCGGTTTGGAACAAGCGGTGCCCAAGTTAAAAGGTAAAGGACCCCTGGATGGTTAAGTCCAGTCAAAGGCGACTCTGGTGTTGCAGCGCTCATCTTGCTTTCAGGCCGAGGGAGCTGGCGTTTGTCCCCAGACAGTTTTCCTGGTCATGTGGCCAGCATGACTAAGCCACTTCTGGCACAACGGGACACGATGACGGAAACCAGAGAGCACGGAAACGCTGTTTACCTTCCTGCCACTGTGATACCTATTTATCTACTTGCGCTGGTGTGCTTTCGAACTGCTAGGTTGGCAGGAGCTGGGACACAGCAACGGGAGCTCACCCCGTCACGGGGATTCGAACTGCCGACCTTCTGATCAGCAAGCCCAAGAGACTCAGTTGTTTAGACCACAGCGCCACCTGTGCCCAAGTTAACCCGTGCATCAGCCTCCCATCTTGAGGAGGCCTGGCACAGTCATCTGCAACGAAGAAACCCCACAGAGGAAGCTTGTCTCCCTCTTGCATTTGGTTGGCATCGGGCCTTTGAAATACGGTAATTACTCAGGAGTCCTGCAGGACAGGTGCAGAGAAGGCAGGTCAGGTCTGTTAAGAGTGCAAAATTGGAGACGGAACGCAAAGCTGATGGTTGTGAAAATCTGGGCTGTTGTTCTGGTTGTGAAATGATGAATAATTTTGTTTTTTAATAATAATAATGAGTTGAGAATGGAAAAAAATATTACTGCCACATTTCCTGATCATGCTTCCTTTTTAAATTTTATCCAATCTTCCATCTCATGTTCACCTCCTGAAGCATTGCCACAAATGACTATATTGCGCCCTCCCTCCGCAAGCTCCCTTCCGTTATTCCCCCCCACCTTTTGTGCCATTCCGCTCTACCAAGCAGCCTTTAAAAATTAAATCGCTGCCAATTTCCCCTTCATGCTGCTTGGCTTTTCCATATTATTTTTTTTTAAGGGTGGGGGTGGGGAAGAAAGATGTGATTAAGGTGCTGCTTGCTACTTAATAAATTACTGGGAGATTCGCTGTTCAGGGGAAGGGAAATAAATTATGATATTTAACATTTTGTAATAACAACAATTAGTTGCTAAATAATGCCGTCTTCTTCCCTTTTTTTTTGTAAAGGAAAAAGCAAAAGTAAATTAATTCTCCTAATTAGCTGTCAAGCATCAAGGGGAGAAAATGAGCACAGATCGGGGCATAGGCAGAAGTTTTCTGTCAAATTGGATGCGCATGTGCAAATTGTACGCTCGTGAAGGTAGGGATGCCACGGGTGCTGGATCTGGACCTGGAGGCTCCATGAGAACCTAAGAAGAGCACACAGGATCAGGCCAAAGGGGGCCCATCTAGGCTGGCCTCTTCTTTCCATGGTGGCGAAATTCCTCTAGGAATAAAGATAGATTGCCTATGGAGCTGGAGGCTCCATAAGGGCATAAGAAGAGCCTGCTGGATCAGGCCGATCTTGTCCAGCATCCTCTTCTCACATTGTCCAACCAGATGCACCACCGGGACGTCTGCAGACCTTTGCCCTGATCCAGCAGGCACTCTCTTGCGTCCTCCTTTATGGAAGCTGTACCTGGGAAGGGTCCTCCTCTCTCTCAATATCTATCTGAGCAGGAACCGAAGGCGTTAATTCTTCTTGCGGGGCTGAGAAGTGATTCAATTTCCTCTGTGACAACGAGCCCCCTGGGCTGATGGCCGCCTCCAGCAGTTTTAATTAAGTTGCCACTTAAGGAGACAATGGATTCTTTCTTCCTTTGCTGCCGGTATATGCTGGAGTATTTGTGCCCTGGGAGGCGGTGGTGGAGAGAGTGTCATCAGAACTGCCTTGGTGACTCGGGCTTGAGGGTTGTTATGGTTTAAAACAGACTCTTCTTTCGGCAAGCAGCTAGTCTGAAGAGCCTTGCAAACTTCGTACAGAGCGGTCCTCCGTTCTCTCTTTGTTCCCAGTGCGTGGCGGTAGACTGCCACTGAGTGTGGAGGCTCCGCTTGCACGGACTGCCTTCCCTGGTGGAGACCAAGCCAGACTTTTAACATCTCCTGAAGAGACCTTGCTGGCCACAGAAGAACCAGTATACTTAGCTCAGTATTGTCTGCACTGACTGGCAGCAGTGGTTCTCCAGGGTTTCAGGGGGAAACACCCTTAGCCTTATCTGATATGCCATTTGAACCCGGGACCTTCTGCTCTAACCCCTGGGCTGTAGCCCTCCACTTAGTGCCAATGCAGAAGCAACCATGCTTGAGGGCACCTCACCCCAGCCCTGGGAATACCCACCCTTGTGAGGCAGAGAAACTAGCAACATTTAACCTCAAATCCTTATGGCAAAAGGAATGGCTTATTCACACTGGGTGTGCATAACAACCTAGGAAGAGTCTGCTGGATCAGACCACGGCCCACATAGTCCAGCATCCTGTTCCCACAGAATCATGAGGACTAGGAACTTAGAATCAAAGAAGCGTATGGTTGGAATGCAACTCTATGAATGTGATGGCCTGGGACTTGGGTTCGGACTCAGAACCAGAGGAGTCTCAGTCCGCACCAGATCCTCTGCCTCAGGCGGCTTCTGAACCCAGTCTGGGGCCTGATTCTGAAGAGCCCCAGTCTGCACAGGTTCCCCTGCAACAAGCACCAGCTGGGCCAAGTCAGGGGCCTGAGCCTGCCCTGGCTCCAGATGCCGGGGATGACCTCATTGATTTCAGCTGGGCAAACACTTACAGCTGCTCCACGACCAGTTGAGGCTGAGGCAGCCTCTGGGTCTACTAACTCTCCGACATTTCCCAAGCTGCAGAGACTAAGGTCTGAGAGAAGGAGAGACCTGAGTACTCGCAGGAGGAGTGCTCACCTTCGGGCAAGACAGGGAGGTGAGTCACCGGGGGATCAGGACCAGCCTAGCCCAACAAAGATAAAAGGCTGCCGGACCCTGCCCCAGGTTGCAAAAGCAACATTGCTGCTTGCTGGAACCTGCCTGAGTCCCTGTGCCTGACCTTGCCTGGTTTCATGCCTGGTCCCTGTTGGACCTCGTGGTATCCTTCAATTCAGGACCGGACCTGGACCACGTTGCTGGGGTTAACCCCCGGGCCCAGCACAATAAAAAAGAACACTATTCTAGGCTGCATCATCAGAAGTCTAGTGCCCAGATCAAGGGAAGTCATAGTCCCTCTCTATTCTGCCTTGGTCAGGCCCCACCTGGAATACTGTGTCCAGTTCTGGGTGCCACAATTTAAGAAGGATGTCGACAAGCTGGAAGGTGGGCACCGGAGGGAGACCAGGATGACCAGGGGTCTGGAAACCAAGCCTGATGTGGAACGGTTGAAGGAGCTGGGTATGTTGAGCCTGGAAAAGAGGAGTCTGAGAGGAGATAGAAGAGCCACCTTCAAATATCTCAAGGACTGTCCATTGAGAGATGGAGAAAACTCTGGAAGGTAGGACTTTAGCGCTTACCTCTCGCAACCTTTTGCATTATCCAAGTGCCAACACCCCACTCCCCCTCCCCGCAAAAAAACCAGCAGCCAGGAGCCTCCTGAGAATGCAATCTCTACTGGAAATAAACCAAGTGCGCTGGGGGGGGGGGGCGCCAGCCATGGAGGTGTGTGTGTTTGGGGGGGGGGAGGGAGAGAGCTTCCAATTACCAGAGGCTGCAGTTCCTTTTGCACCATCTCACTATGTCATTTGCAGCTCCTTCGCCTCCAGGCTGAGCCAGTTCTTTTCTCATTCCCTTATGTGAGAGAGAGAGGACAGGAGGGGGGCAGCGGGGGGGGGGGCGGCAGCGACGACTTCCGAGGGTGCTCTTGGAGGTGGCAGAGGATCTGCTTTGCATGCAGGAGGTGTGGGGTTCAATCCCCACCGGCAGCGTCTCCTGGGAGGGCTGGGGGCATCCCTTGCCTGAGACCCTGGAGAACAGTTGCTGCCAGTCAGTGTAGACAGTACTGAGGTTGTTGTTTAGTCATTTAGTCGTGTCCGCCTCTTCATGACCCCTGGACCAGAGCACGCCAGGCACTCCTGTCTTCCACTGCATCCCGCAGTTTGGTCAAACTCATGCTGGTAGCTTCGAGAACACTGTCCCACCATCTCGTCCTCTGTCATCCCCTTCTCCTTGTGCCCTCCATCTTTCCATTGAGCACTCAGGGCTGGACCATAAAGAAGGCTGATCGCTGAAGAATTGATGCTTTTGAATTATGGTGCTGGAGGAGACTCTGGAGAGTCCCATGGACTGCAAGAAGATCAAACCTCTCCATTCTGAAGGAAATCAGCCCTGAGTGCTCACTGGAAGGACAGATCCTGAAGCTGAGGCTCCAATACTTCAGCCACCTCATGAGAAGAGAAGACTCCCTGGAAAAGACCCTGATGTTGGGAAAGATGGAGGGCACAAGGAGAAGGAGATGACAGAGGACGAGATGGTGGGACAGTGTTCTCAAAGCTACCAGCATGAGTTTGACCAAACTGCGGGAGGCAGTGGAAGATAGGAGTGCCTGGCGTGCTCTGGTCCAGGGGGTCACAAAGAGTCAGACACGACTAAATAACAAATCACAGTCTATTGGGAGTTGGACGTCCCTGCTGTACACCATTTCATCATTTTGTAAACTTCTGTCATGTTTAGTAGAGCCAGATCGGGGTGGGGGGGGCTCATTGGTCTGTGGCTCCACCAGCAAGGAAGGGGATTTGTCCTTCTCCCTCACACACAGCCCTCTGCCCCGGGGATCAGGGATTGCCGTAAACCTCCACTAGATTAACTTTGCATTTCGCTATTTGATTCCCACCAATTGGCCATTATGTAGAGCGGGATAATGCCTCCCCAGAGTCCTCTTTAATTTGCTTGTAGCATCTAACTAGTGTAATGTATCTTTGCATGTTGCGCCTGCCCGGTCCTTTCATTTTTAATTTCCTCGCAGCGTGAGGACGGGGGACACCCGCTGGGCCTCTGGGCCCTGACAGATCTCTGAGAGGGAAAGAGAGAGAGAGAGTGGTCGGGGGCTCTGAATTGGGTCTCCCCCACCCTGACCCGGAGGTTCCGCCTCCAAACCCCAGACCTGCAATTTCTCGAGGGCTATTGAAGGCGAGGCTGTTGCCTGCAAAAGCCATGCATCCCTCGACCCAGCTGGAGGGGGCCTGGTGCTCTTCAGATCACAGAATCACAGGACAGAAGAGCTGGCAGGGCACCCAAGCGCCTAGTCCAATCCCTGCAATGCTTCTGAAACCCAGTTGCTAGAAGAAGCCACAGGCAGGGAGCGTGATCTTGGGCTTACGTCCTGCTTGTGGGCTCCCCAGAAAAGGCATCTAGCTGGCCACTATGAGAACAGGAATCCGGACTAGGTTGGCCATGGGCTTGAGCCAGGAATTCAGGAGTGGGAGTCCAGCAAAGCTGATGGACTCTCTTTCACTTGAAGTTTTCAAAGAAGATACTGAATGGCCCTCTGTCAGGGTTTATTTAGCTGTGATTCCTGTGTTGCCGGAGGAATTGAACTAGACTACTCTTCCCACTCTATGGCGCTGTGGTCTAAACCACTGAGCCTCTTGAGCTTGCCGATCAGAAGGTCGGCGGTTCGAATCCCCCCGACGGAGTGAGCTCCTGTTGCTCAGTCCCAGCTCCTGCCAACCTAGCAGTTCAAAAGCATGCAGTGCAAGTAGATAAATAGGTACCACTGTGGCAGGAAGGTAAACAGCGTTTCTGTGTGCTATGGTTTCCATCATCATGTCCCGTTGCACCAGAAGTGGTTTAGTCATGCTGGCCACATGACCTGGAAAGCTGTCTGTGGACAAACGCCGGCTCCCTCGGCCTGAAAGCAAGATGAGCACCGCAATCCCATAGTTGCCTTTGACTGGACTCAACCATCCAGGGGTCCTTTACCTTTTTTTACCTATGATTCTACAGTTCTATGAAGCTTGTAAAATGATGTCTTTGATGTTGATTTGCCAATGATGCAATTGCTCTGAATTTTTTTAAAGATTTATTTATGATATTTTTATTAAACAATTTCAGCATAACAAATTATCAAACCATATAATCACATACGTTATCCCCCCCCCTTCCATCCCTCCCTCTCCCCCCCCCCCAGCACCAAGGACTTCCCTCAGCTCCTCTCTCTGATTTCTTTGCACATATTATTCTCTGCATGTTATAAAATTATACATATCCTTGCCTTATCTATCATGTAATCAACCAACGAATTTGTGTATGTTTATTCAAAACCTGCCAAGGAGTCCAATTCATTTTGTTGTCTTTTTAGATAATTTGTAAAAAAAAGCTCCCATTCTTCCTTAAAGTCACAGTTGTCCTTATCCCGCAGTTTGTATGTCAGTTTAGCCAACTCTGCGTAGCCCATCAATTTTTCTTGCCTCTGTTCTTTCATTGGGATTTCCTCATTCTTCCATCCTTGTGCTATCAAGACTCTTGCCGCTGTTGTTGCATACATGAATAATTATTTTTTTCTTGGCAGGTCTTGTCCTGAATTTTTATTTATTTATCTATTGCATTTATATTTCACCTTTCCTCTGAGGAATTCAAGTGGCATACACACACACACACACACACACACACACACACACACACATATATATATATATACACACACACACCATATTTTTTGCTCTGTAAGACTCACTTTTTCCCTCCTAAAAAGTAAGGGGAAATGTGTGTGCATCTTATGGAGCGAATGCAGGCTGCGCAGCTATGCCAGAAGCCAGAACAGCAAGAGGGATTGCTGCTTTCACTGCACAGCGATCTCTCTTGCTGTTCTGGTTTCTGAGATTCAGAATATTTTTTTTCTTGTTTTCCTCTTCCTCTTCCAAAAAATAAGGTGTGTCTTATGGTCTGGTGCATCTTATAGAGCGAAAAATACGGGTATATATGTTAGGATATTTCCGTTCCACCTTAAAAGGGAGCAGGCTTTGTGAGTCAGAGTCTGCGTATTTCCTGTTCACAGGATGTTTATGTTTTCTGTTGCTTTCGTTTTCTCTCTGTGTCGCAGACACTAAAGCAGTCAGTCATGTTTTTCTGTGTTCTGATCAACGCTGAATAAACTTGTAAATAATGCTCTCCTGGGTGCAACTTTTTGCTGTGCATTATCTGCTGATAGAGCGTGCATGAGTCTGGAATGTGGCAAGATATTTTCTAGAAACTCATGTCGCTGCGTGCCTACGGGAGGTCGATGGATCGTCCGGCAGACGGCTTGGGGGCCTTGATGGACTTTATCTCCCTGGCAGTATCCCAACAACAGGTTATGGGCCCAGATTCACAGCACTTACAGGAGAGTAAGACTGCGACAGACTGCTGAAAGGTATGTGGAGGAAAAGCGAAAGTGAGGCTTTTCGTTGCCGCGGCAAAGTCTCTTTGATGTCCGGCAGGCCTAATTGGATCTGGGAGCCGCGCCAAAGGCCTCAAGATTTATGGCTGCCGAGATAAGACGTTTTTGAAGGCATAAAGGCTCACGGCTCAAGTAGAAACCTGGAATGGAGTTTTTCCAAGCTTCTGAGGCTGCTGAGTGCCCAAAGTTAAATCGGCACAACTATCAAACCTGGGCAAAATGGTGTGAGAGCTTGCTGCGTCAGTTTGGAGTGTGGCATACTGTGTGTGAGGCCCCTCCAGTTCCTCTGACAGATGGAAGGCCGAAAATTCGAAGGCGATAGACGTAATTGTCTTGTCCGTCTCTCTGGAGGAAATAAAGATGCTTGCTGGCAATGTGACTGCACGTAAGATGTGGCATGCTTTGAAAGTAGCCCATCTGCCAGTCATCCCAGCCCAGAGTTTGACTGCATCGGAGGTCCTGGCTGTTTCCCAGAATGCGAGTGAATGCAGGGATGCCGAGGGCACCGGTTGCAAGCTGCAGGGGGAGCTGACTGTCACGTCATCCCAGGCAGCATTCCAGCCTCCAGGGGAGCCAAGGAGTCGGCAGCTGAGAGCTCTGTTTCTCATGGGAGCCAAGGTCATCGCCTTTGCAGAGGCCGGAAGGGCAAAGGTAAACAGAGGCAGACGCCTGCAGATGGCCAGAAGCAGAGGGAGGGTGAAGAGCCCACGCCAGAGAAAAACAAGGCATTGTTTGCTGGCACAGATTCACCAAAGGCTAAAGGCAAGTCTGATGGCCAGGAGCAGGGGGGCAAGCTGCAAAAGCCCACGCCAGTGGAAAACAAGGTTTTGTTTGCTGGCACAGCCTCACCAAAGGCCAAAGGCAAGTCTGATGGCCAGGAGCAGGGGGGCAAGCTGCAAAAGCCCACGCCGGTGGAAAACAAGGTTTTGCTTGCTGCAAACACTGCTCCAAAGGCCAAGGCCAGGTTTGTTGTTGATTCAGGCTGTACCCGCCATGTCTCAAAAGACCGCCATCTCTTTATCTCCTTCAAACCTCAAGAAGGTGAGATCCACCTGGCTGACGGAAAGACATTGCGGATCGCAGGAGAAGGGACTGTGAAACTGGCAAGTCTGCACACTACCATCAAAGATGTACTATATGTTCCAGGTGCTGCAGACAATTTGCTCAGTGTCCCACAGCTGACTGGGCGTGGTTTTGAGATTTCCTTCAAGAGAAGCGTCTGTGTCATCAGAAAAGGCAAAGAGGACATTTTGCATGCAAAGTTTATGGATGGCTTGTTCTGTATAACTTATGCTGACAATGGTGCTATTGTGTCTAATGCTGATTCTTGTTGTGTTGCACAAACTAACAAAGTTCTTCATGCAGGATGCATTCACGATGCACACAGAAGGTTTTGCCACCTCTCTTGGAAGGCACTGGCCAAGATGCCAGAGATGGTTGAGGGTTTGAACATCAAACCCTGTAAGTTTCACATGAAATGTGTATCTTGTGCAGAGAACAAGGTGAAGGTTGCTCCAAAAGGCAAGGAGTCTAGCAGGCAGGCTTCCAAAC